ACTCCGACGCCCATGGAGACCCTTTGTTCCCTCAAAGCCATAATGTGGGACGCCACGGGATCGTGTTAACTTACCACCGCGACGCCCCACTGACCAGCCCGAGAATAGGGCTCCTTTGGGGCGCTGCACCCGTAGGCGCTCCTCAGAGACACCCTCCCTCGCTGATGCCGCCTAGGGTTTATAGAGACCCACCTCTTGGCCACCGTCTTCATCAAGACAGACGCCCATGGAGGCCTAACCTGAGACTAATAGGCATTGATAAAGTTACTTTAGCATTAATATTTAGCAATAATAGTAAAGGATTTTTATTGAGATCGATTTAATTTAACATGATAGTAGTGGGAAGCGTGCTCTGCGGTCACGGAGAGAGAGTTCGCACAATGACCGCCGCGGTCAAATCGCGCTCGATGGTACGCGCGAACTTTGACCTCAGCCGCGAACCCGCGTACATCTTTATTGTAATAAATCTTTATTCAGTAATAAATATACCATTATGTACATCTGCAAGACTTATGACTGCATGCGATTAGAGAGTGTTTATTATGGTCATTGTTAGAACAGTTTTAAGTTTGCAAAGCAGCTATCTTTTCTTTTGTGATAAAAATTTAGGGGTGGACTACCATTAACATTTAGGGGGGTGAAACATAGATGGTGGCCGATTCTCAGACCTACTCAATATGCTCACAAAGAGAATCGGTCAAGCCGTTTCGGAGGAGTATGGGAACGAAAATTGTGGCACGAGAATTTTATATGTAAAGAAGATTACTTAGACTTATTTAACGCGCTTTCCGATTCCTGTCAGATCGATTAGTGAGGGGACATTAAAGTTGATATTTTAATAAGGCTAGTGTTGCGCCGATCCACCGTCATAGTTTCGGATTTTCTTCCTAACACTATGTATGTCTATTTATTAATCACAAAACTAAATTTAAACAGGTGTGTTGAGTTACATACATAAATAAAGGTTCCGTATACGTTTTAAAATAAAATATCTAAATTTAAGATTCAAATTTATTAGTTTCATAGGTTTCCTCTCCATCAGAAAATACGTTTAAAAGGAAAACAGGAAGACGCCAACCGAATAAATCTATAAGGAAAATTAAAAAGTTGTTGCATCTAATACGTCACGTTAAGGTCAAGTGCAAGTTCGTTGACGGCAACGAGAGCCGCGCATTTATATTACTCAGTACAACAGGTACTAAAGTTGTGATGTCAGAGATGGGTAGCGAGCTCCCCCCAGGGTGAACGACTGCACCGTCATTACGCTAGTTTCACACGAGGGCAGAACAGTGAGGTAGAGCAGCTGACAGTACATTACTGCTGTTTTTTGAACACATATTTAATATTACTGTGTGTTTGAAATCTTAACCTGTCTTGGTTTTGTAGAAATGTCGGGTTATGTAGCGTTAAATTCACTAAAATCTCCTAGGAGGTCATCTTTTAATCCGACAGGCGGAGTTCCGAAATCTTCGGACTTTGTACACGCTACTGCACTGTCTTACTGGACTGCTTCACTGTGTTTCCCTTGTGTGAAACTAGCATTACGTCGACCGCATCATTATAGAGCTGGCTGCGACCGAGCCTTCCTCTCCATAGATTAAAAAGTTTTTTCTATCCAAGAGCGAGTTTATTTTATAAGTGTAGTGATATTAAAATGTAATTTTAAAAGCACTGCTATTTTTAACGCATCATTATTATAAGAAAATGCATCTGTTTCCAAGTAAAGGAGTGAAACATTGTAATAAAAGTTAATTATCAGACTCTATGTTATTCTTGCCGTAATATTTAAACTTCAACGCCTGGTATTCACTTTGAAGTATCAAATAAAAGTTGCGACGAAAAGAGTTACATCTATAATAAGACTTATAAGAGATGTAACCCTTTTCATTGCATGCTTAGAAATTATATTAAATGCACGTATATATACAGCATGTTAATAATATTTCGTCAAAACTGGCGCGCGACAATCACGTGACTTATCGAAAGTTATTGTCAGTTCTATACAATTTTGAAGTTCGTTATGGAATCGCTTCGTAGCGAATGCACTCTGTCTAACCCCGCTTGTCTGCGTCTAACGTACAAAAAGTCAAAGCTCTCCATGCAAAACAAAAATAATAGTAACGGTATTGGTAAACGATGAAAGTAACCGCCGGCAACAATATCGTGCAGATTCAAACGAATACGAAATACCTAGCATATAGTTCAATGCACGTCGACGCTTTTATCGTAAAATCTTTGCCATTGTTATGGCACTTTGTACGCGTATAAGATAAAAATGTGCTATTTGAATATCGTTATTCTACGCGGCGTACATTGATATGCAATACTTCTACTTAGAAATAAAAGATGATACGATTATTCACTTATTTATAGTGTATTGTTTCGTTTTTTTTTTATAACGGCGTGTTGAAACGTTTGTGCTAATGGTCGAAACTTTTACCTAATTCGTCTGATTGGGGTTTTACTGATAATGGTTCCTATACTATTTGCATTACCCTACAGTTTATTAATATCTAAGTACAATTTATTATAAGTCACATATCTTAGAAATCTATTGAAAATTTGATTAATCATAGACAATTTAATAAGATCATTAAGAAAATACATTTTTAATCTACTACCAGTTTTTGCCCGATACTTCGTCCGCTAGTATGTTATGTTATTCAGTGGCAATATAGCTTTCTTAGGCTAAAGATTTTTGAAACTGGTCCACCAGTTTTTCAGTTTATTCTTTACCGACAAAGATACAAAATATACCTCTTTATAATAGTGTTAGTATAGATAAATGTAATATATTATTTCAAATTGACGTATATTACTCGCGAATAAGTATGGCCGCTTCTAATTGCATTTAAACGTAGTTACGTAGGCAGGAAAAAACCTTTATATAGACGTAGTGACACGCGATGGTTTACATCAGCATAATGCTTTAATGAAACCGTGGGACCCACGTCGACAAATCAATTGAACTTGAACCGATCAACTACATGACAGCCGTACTAAGTACCATTTGCGTAGCTTTATCCTCAATTAGCATCTATACCATCATATGAATCCAATTAATATCTGTATGTCATATTGAAAAAAAATTAACTTTTGTCTATGTCTATTTGCAAGTTCTAGTTTGTTCCAGGTAGCCTCCGAAACGGCTTGACCAATTTTGACGGGACTTTTACTGGAAGGTACCTTTATGTGCGGAAGTAACTTAGATTAATTTTGTTGTTTAATTATGCACGGACAACAGATATAATTTTTATAGAAAAAGAAGAGTGAAGAGAGAAATTATTTTAAAGGTTATTCACAAAAATACCTTGGAAATTATTAATTCGTTATATCATGAGAACTTTGAGATAATAAAAATCCATGCGTCCACATGAATTTAGTAAAAAGAATCAACATTTAGTGAGAGTCGTGCTTAGTACCACGATGTTTATCACCGGCCCTAGCAAACGTTTATAGCGGAGATTTATATCAAGTTCTTTCAAATTCTTAGAAGTTTCATCCTCGTATATCCAACAATTTTAAGACAATACTTTATTCAATTTATGTCATAAACGCGTAAAAAATAACAAAAAAAGCATAAAAGTAATTTATGCAACTTGTGAGGCTTTTTTCCATCACCTTTTTTATTTGCCTTTAACTTTACATTTAACTAGTTATTGAGGAATTAAAAATAATCTAGAAATAAATATAGCTTATAATTCTCATTGTTAATGTAGCTTTCTAATGGCAAAAGCATTTTTGAAATAAGTCCAGTAGTTTTTGAGTTTACTCGTTCCTCTTCTTAACTACATCACACCCAGTAAGAGAGTCTTGTTACCGTATATTAAACAAAATAATAAGAATAATATAGACAATAAAAAAACACAAAATAATGTGCAAACATTTTAATTGACGACAAATAAGTTTCTTTACATCAAATTGACATACACATTTACTAAATTAAAAAAATATATATTTTCAATAAATAGCTCAAATAATTTATACAACACAATACAAAAAGTTATAAAATCGAAAATCATAGGCCTTGCTACATTTAGGCCAAAATTAATTACGCAATGAATTTACATAATACCTAATTTTAGTTCCCTTTCCCTTCCCAACCTTTTTCTTATAAGGAAAGGATGGGAAGTGGAAGTGGATATTCCGGATGATATGAATGGAAAGGGAAAATATTTTCAATCTGTGCATCCTCTTCTCCGTTGATTAAATGTAGGCAACGCATATGCAATTGCGTATATCTATGGGCAACGGTCACTTCACTATTTCTGCAATTTTATTGGCCGCTCGCTCGTTTGCCATCTTATGATTAAAATATACAAATAAATGACATCTTGGAATGTTTAAATCATCTAAACATAGATAACGATTCTTTTATGCCAGTATGATGAATTCGCTTTGAGGTTTTATTTAAATTCAACTATTGGTGAAATTTAAATCACTTTTTTCCTTATAACTAAGATACAGATAAATTACATAATTATTTCTAAAGTCAAAGTTGACATATTGAGAGCTAAATACAATTAAAAGTAGTAAAATGTCTTTTTTAATAACAATATTAATTTGCAGTTACATTAGCTTTCAAGTCTAGCTTTTTAAGGCCATTTTTAATTAAAAATTAACTATATTTTCTTAATATTTAACTATGATATATAATTTATGTATATAGATTTATATATTATGTATTTGATAAAGCTTTACTAAGTTTAAAGTCTGTCTGATAATATAAAAAATGCATTTACAATAAAAATCGGAATAAAAACTTTTTAATATAATTTCAATGTGGTAACACCATAAGTAAAATCTTCATAATTATGTCATTTCATAATCTCACAGTAAAATTGTATTTATTCGAGTATTGTTTCACATTTGAGTTTTTCAAGAAAATTATTTATATACTACCTGTCGACCGCGACTCCGTCCGCTCGGCTATAAATAAATTGCTTTTATAATATTAGCAAGAAGTAAGAATATTTGTATATTATTTAAGGATTAATAATAAATGTCAAAAAGATCATTCGATATAGCCCTTAAATTTTACATTTATATGATATTAGGCACTTATTAATTACCAAATAATCTTTGAACAGATGTTTGTCACACGTCTTTGTTTCAGACTACACATTCATTCTTTAAGCCAATATTTAACGTTTTATTTTAAAAAATCTTAGGTACACTTCATTATCTATCCTTAATAGTTATCTAGATAGAAAGTCTAGTAAAGTTAATTACTTGAAGAAAGTTATTTTATAGTTTTAAAATAATTATGGCAGTAAAAGATGTAGTTCAACACGCTAATATAACACGACTAAATAATATTCATTATAATCCGACTAAATTATAACCATCGCAGAGAGCTCTCTGTATAAAGTCCATTGACCTCTATAAATGGACTGGCTATAAGAAGTACTATTTTGTGCCTATTTGATTTCCGCCATTTTGGAATACGACACTGCGTCGGTGTATCGGCGCAACACTAGCCTTAAACATCAAAGTTTATGTCCCCTCACTTATCAATCTGACACATGACCTTGTAACAAAAACCCGTCATTCGCGACAAGGAATTCTAACTAATAATTTCTGAAATAATATAAATGGAATAAAGTGGTACGTAATATCAAAAGGCGCGTTTTAGTAACGAAGAAAGCTGTTATTTCCAAGCAATCGCCTATTTATAGAGATCAGTCGGCTCTTCCAGACATTATACTATAAGCAAAATATAAATAGAACATGACGCAAAAAATTAAGTGACAAGACAGTCCAACAAGGTTCTTGTGACATTTTGACATATAGGGGGCGCCAATGTGCTGTTACTTTAGTTTCATTTTTGACCACCAGATGGCATAAGTTTATCGTAATCAGCAGTTATGACGTCATCAATTATCAGCTGTCTTCTCAGTGTTGTAGTACTGCTGTGCCAGGTCGAACAGTTCCCGCCTCATCTGCTGCGCCTGGGTCCTGAGATGTTGTTCCCGTGTTCTTATTGCTCGGTACTGTTCCTCGCGCTCCTCCGTACCTTGTGGTGTCAACCAGCGTAAGTAGAGCTCTGAAACATATGTCACCTGATGTATAATAGTTTCAACTCGATCGTATTTAATATCCCTTCAACATAAACATTGTAATCGCCTGAATCTAAAACACTGAAGAATAAAGTGTCTTTTGATCCGTATTCAGCAATCAGTCGAGTTTTTTTTACTTAGAACTTATTTAGTAGCCTATGTGTTAGACTATGTTTTACATCTATGCCAAATTTCAGCGAGATCCATGCAACCGTTCTGGAGATACCTTCTAACAAACATCCATCCATTTAAACATTATAATATTAGTAAGATGGTCAAATATCATACCTTCCCAGATAACGAAGCTCATAGGAGCTACTGAAGGCCAGATGACGTTTGGTGTTGGATCATAGAGTGGGTTGATGTAGGTAGCCAGCTCCTCCGGCTGGTTGAGCCACGACCACAGGCTGGTGGTCTGTGTGTACACGCCGCGTATTGAACGCTCCTGGTCATTGTCGCACAGGAATGTACCTGTTATATAAAAAATTATGAATTTACATAGGAACAAAAAATAACTCTTAAATGCGTCATTTTTTTTCAAACCTTTCGAAAATATATTAAATCGTTATATTAAAGGATCGATATTATAAAAAAAATCTATGGTTTTTGCAATGTTGTATTCATACAAAAGTGCTCATTTAATGGTTAACCATCAAAAAATGTAGACAAATAACAAAATTGAGTTTATCCCGACAACCAATCAATCGGCCAACTTTATCCTTTCTACGCTTTATCATTTTTTATATTAATATATTTTTTATTTAATCCTACTACTGTGTTCTTATTTTTCAACAAGCATTATATTTTATTTTTTAAAACAGACATATCTTTTAGATCGGAAGAGGAGTTCGGCAGGGGGACCCTATATCCCCTAAACTGTTCTCAGCAGTATTAGAAATGATATTCAGAAACTTAGAATGGTCTTCATACGGCCTTAATATAAATGGAGAGAATCTTAATCATCTTCGCTTTGCAGATGATCTAATTTTGTTTTCCGAATGCCCCAATACCCTACAAAAAATGCTACAACAATTATCAGATCAAAGCGCATTAGCAGGCCTTACAATGAATATCTCAAAAACTAAAGTAATGAGTAACACGACGAAAAATTTTGTAATCAAAGTTAATAATGAAGAAATAGAAAAAGTCAAAGAATACGTATATTTAGGACAACTAATTTCAGTTGAAAATTTAATGCAAAAGGAAATAGAGAGAAGGGTTGCTAACACTTGGAAGAAATTCTGGTCGCTCAGTGAAATCATGAAAAACAAAGATATGGCTATTAAGGAGAAAAGAAAAGTATTTAATGTATGTATACTACCCTGTTTGACTTATGGCTGCCAAACATGGGCATTGACAGAACAACTACAAAATAAACTAATAATTTGCCAGAATGGAATAGAACGAAGCGTAGTGGGAGCAAGAAGAAAAGATAAAATGCCATTAAAAGAAATAAGGAAGAAAACTAAATTTAAAAACACTCTTACAACTACTAGGAAATTAAAGTGGAGATGGACAGGTCATATGCTTCGAGAAAAAAAGGAAAAATGGACTAAAGCTATTACTGAGTGGTACCCAAGGGAAAGTAAAAGAAACAGGGGAAGACAATATAAAAGATGGAGGATGATTTTAAAAAAGTTGCAGGCCCAGAGTGGACCCGCATAGCAAAAGATAGAGAGAAGTGGAGAACATTAGAGGAGGCCTTTGTCGAAAGACAAGTTGTTTTGCGAGGTCGGGAGCATCCGCTTGCCGATGAGTAGATTACATTGCAAGAGAATTGGAGGACGGTTAGATGTGATTTTATGATTAGTGATTAATATTTGTTTTCTAATCTATCATTCTGATCGTGCATTTTCATTGTAAATTCCAAAATTATTGTATTATTTAGAACAGCAATAAAGGCTTATTTTATTTTATTTTATTTTTTTATTTATTTTATCTTTTAGAACAGAACACGAAGAACTTAAATAGACATTTATTATAAACGAAATTAGGCATCTACAGATTCACATACTATATTGGATCGTGTCAGTCACGTTTCAACACTAGCCTTACTAAAATGTCAACGTTTATGTCCCTCTCACTAATCATTCTGACACATTGACTTCAAATGATTCTAACTAATAATGTCTAAAAATACTTACCAAATTGACTAGCATACGAATGTTCGAAGAGTGTGATGAGGAAGGACTGCCTGTATTCAAAGCTGCAGGGGAACTGCTCGAGGAACTGTCGCACGCAGTCCAGGAAGAGCGGGAAGGTGGGAGCTGCGGCGGGGCGCGGCTGTGAGGTGAACGCGCCCGCGCGCTGCCGGCTGCCGAATGGGTGACCGGCCAGCACCCACTCGCGTTCTATCAGAGCCTGCAGACTGAGACACGCAGATATTCTCTATAGCATTTACCCCCGACTATGTGCATGCTGATTTAAATAATCTATTGTCTACTAGAGTTAAAAAAAAAAACAATTAGTAGCTTATATCTTTTTAAAGTGCGTCGGTGGCTCAGAAGTCAAGCACTTGACTTGCATTCTGCAGGTCCTGGGTTCGAATCCCGCAATGTACCAATGTGTTTTTCGATTTCCGATTTACATTTGTACATTTATCCGACGTTCTTACGGTGAAGGAAAACATCGTGATGCAACCTGCACATATCTGAGAAGAAATTCAAAGATATGTGTGAAGTCATCCAACCCGCACTTGTCCAGCGTGGTTGACTATGGCGTAATCACCCCTTAACTTAGGGTAGGCTCCGAGCCCCTCGGTGGGGACGTATAGTGAGCTGATGATGATGATCTTTTTTAGACTATGTTCTATATGTAAAAATAAATATATTCATTGTAATTTCATTTAGATCCGTTCAGCCGTTCCGCATATACGTTCAAACAAACATCCATCCATCCATCTATACATTCGCATTTATAATATTAGTAAGATAGTGACCCGGAGATAATGTAGTTTCCTAAAAGTCAATGAATAAATTATATTATCTTGCTAATATTATAAATGCGAAAGTTTAGATATAATAAATGGATGGATGTTTGTTTGTTAGTACCTCCGAAACTATGCGCATAGATGTAAAACTTAGTCTGGAAGGAAAGGCTAACTAATTAATATTGTTTCATTCATGTGGACGAAGTCACGGGCCACAGCTAGTACGATTTAAATATTAGATTAGTTGTATAAGTACTAAACTTACCCTCTTATAGTCCTACAGTCTGGGTTCAGAATGATCTGCACCAGAGAGCAGACTAGTAGAGTGGCGTCTTCACCCCGGGTTCCGTGGATTAACACAGATTCCGCTTTCTGTCAAATAATAGCATATTAAAATCTGTATGTCCAATCTGTACACTGATTATCTATACATAATCTAGATCTGTAATAATAAATACATAATAATATTATCTATGTTTATAAAATTGGAGTTTTTTTTATATCATAAGGTGGGGCAAACGAGCAAGCGGCCACCTGAAATCGCTGAAATAGCGAAGTGACCGTTGCCCATAGACATACGCAATTGCATATGCGTTGCCTATCTTTAATCGACAGAGGAGAGGATGCACAGAAAGAAAATATATTCCCTTTCCATGCATCCTCTCATCCGAAAAGTCCATTTCCTCTTCCCATCCCTTCCTTATGAGAAAAAGGGTGGAAAGGGAAGAGGACTAAATTAGGCCTCCGGGACGCACACTCATCAGACGAAATTGCTTCCACTTGACGCCTATCTTCTGTGTGGTGGTGGTATTTCACCGGGCGAGCCGGGACAATTCGTGCGAAGATGTTAAAGCGGGCTCTACCACTGTTAATTAATTTCTGTTTGTATCAGTTTGTAATTAAATATGATGCATAAATTTTAACAAAAAACATTTTGTCTGTCTGTAAATCTATCCGCAAAGTCGTGTTTGTTCCGGGTAATCTCCGGTTCGGCTGGACCGATTTAGACGGGACTTGCACAGGAAGGTAGCTGATATACACGGGCTTGTTATAGGCTATTTTTTTACTCTGCGCGGACAAAGTATCAAGCCAACGCTAGTTAATTAGTAGATAATTACTTGATGTAAGTGTTGTGCGACGATGCAAGCTGTGTGCAGTGAGTTGCGCACAGACTCCGGCCAGCCGCACGACTCCAGCCGGGATATCCACTTGTCGCTAGATATCTCCTTGTCAACACAAGCTGGAAATAATATATAGGATATTTATTTTCTACTCACATACATTATCCTGCCTTTGAAAAGGTCAGAACAGTATGTACAACTCTTCTGTATATGTTTACCAACCGTCATATCTGAGTTCACTATTTTTTTACACATATCCTCTTCCACAAACTCCATCCATACTTTCTTCGGACTCCTTCTACTTTTGTAACCATCCACATTCAATGTTACAATCAATCAATCTATATATATAAAAGAAATTAGTGTTAGTTGTTACTAACACTAATTTCTTTATTTAATTTTAACTCAATAACGGCTGACCGATATGGCTGGAAATTGGTGAGGAGGTAGCTGACAGCCAGGAGACGGACATAGGATACTATTTATTCATTATTTTTTCGAATTTATGCCTTGAAGAGCTGCTTTTTATTTAACTTACTAATATTATAAATGCGAATGTTTAGATGGATGTGATGTGGATGGATGGATGGGTGGGCTTACAGTAATTAAGTTTTTTATATATCCACGGGGACGGAGTAGCGGGCGACAGCTAGTATTGTATAAAAAGAAAATCGTGTTGATATGTTTAAAAATTGTTGTAGAGGCAGTACCCAATTCCATAGGATGTGACATAAAATTCTAAAAGCTAGTATAAGATAATTAAAAAAAAAACAATGACAAAACACAACAAACATTGGCACGTCACCTTCAATAAGTTTGGAGAAGCTTTCCAGCAACTGCTGTTGATTGTCAACATCATCCATTGACCTATTGTATATTCTCCATTGAGAATAATTAGCTGCACTTTCTGATCCTCCACCTGCAAAATAACATCATCACTTGTTTAGGAACTTCGAAGCTAGACAAAGTGCATTCGCTCGGAAGCAATTCCATAACGAACTTAACCCTTATGTTCATTTTGTATAGTATACCATACACACTTGATAAAAATATACGATCACTATAAAATAATTTTTAACTTAGTTTTTTTTAACTTTGATTTTTGCTTTACTTCAAAAAAATAAATCTTGCCACAATAAGGGTTAAATGTATAGAACTGACGCGGCACAATCACGTGACTTATCGAAAGTTGTCAGTTAAATACATATTTGAAGTTTGTTATTGAATTGCTTCGGAGTAAATGCATTTTGTCTAGCCCCGCTTTATCTGTAAAACCTAATTTTATTCATCAGTTTCCGTTCTAATTACAATTATTTCACAAAAAGAATTCTAAACTTATCATCCACAAAGAAGAAATTATAAAAAATTCCTGTTTCAAGTGGCATGGCAGTTAAGTTAGGAGAAAAGTGTTAAAATCTTTGAATTATATTAATTTTAATTTGTTTATAATGGTGCATATAAATTACATAAAAATGTTGCCATAACAAACCTTTATTTTGTTGTTGTGAAATACCATTGGAACTTCTTAAATCGTAAATGATCCCTTTCATGCCAACATTGACTACAGAGTTCAATATGGCTTCATCAGGTCGACATCGCCTGTGTTTTGGTCCAGACAACGGTTGACCAGCTCGTAATAGTACTGCCTGAAATAATGCAGACATTGTTAAGTTTTTTTAATAGCAATCTTACCAATATTACAAATGCGAATGTTTAGATGAATGGATGGCTGGATGTTTGTTATAAGGTATTTCCAGAACAACTCAACAGATCTTGATGAAATCTAGCACAGATGTAGAACAGTCTGGAAGATCACTTAGGCTACATATTAAGTTCTTTTGTATTCTGCGCAGACGAAGTTGTCGGCAACAGCTATTTATTTGAAGGTAATAAAGTTTTCTAGTTTATTTCATACAAACATACAAAAATAATTCTAGATGTATTTTTTCTAATAGGAATTAAAAAATACTTACACCGTTATTATGTCTATAAGATAGGACAGGAAATCTCCCGCCCTGTCTGAATGATGCTGCAGCAGCTAATGTCTCATCATCAATGCACTTAGGCACTACCACAGCTTTAGCATATCCCGGACATATGTTGTAATTCTGATTAACACGAGACAAATGCCAATCTTCACTTGCTAATACCTTGGTAAATTCACCTTCAATACTGAAACAAGAGAATAAAATATTTGTTATACTTATAAAACCTAACATTTGTATTTAAAACAATGTTTTCTTAGCTTTTTTAAAAAGAAAACAGAGTTTGAAAACTTATTATATTTGTGTTTAAAGCAGTGGAAATCCACCTTAATACTATTTGATGCCTAACCTATATGGGTGGTAAGGTGGTCTATGATACAAAATTAACATTTTCAGATAACAAACAATACATGTTTGAAGTCACTATGTGCTATGTACTTATATGGTAGTTAAATAGGTAGATAGAATAAATAGATATGGTCCAAATTTATTTAAAGTTTATATGTTCAAAGATGCTCATGATGGATTAACCCAAAAATCTTACATAGACCACTTTTAGTTGCAGGTTAGCCAAATAAACTTATATTACTGTTCCATTATCTGGTTGTTAATTTTTTTCATCCTAAGTTTCCCAGTAATATTAAACAACAGTTACATTATTACCTGTATAATGTGTAGCCATTTTCCACAATAGGATGCATGTGTCTATAAAAGAATGGATAGAATAGACTTGGATCTTGAATATTGGATAAATTTTCCAATGTCTGCGCAACAAGATTTAACTCTGTGGTGGTACCAATATCTAGTTGGAATATTCTTAAGTCCTTGCATTTCAGGAAAAGAGAACCTCCTTGTGCCATACCATTTATTGGCTTGTTTTCTTTTTTCTCTATGCTGTCTATATTCTTATGTAAAAGCTGGAAAGTAAGAAGTCTTAAATAAATTACTAGCCCAGGGTAGTCAGTGACACCAAATTAAGGAAATCCAAAACAATAATTGCTCAATCTATCCTTAGGATAATACCATGTTGGTTAATCATAGCTTCTTGCCGATAGTACTTAACCATTAAGGTATATTTTAATCCAATTAAAAGAAAACATACCCATAATTCACGAACGCCTTCTTTTCTTGAGCTTAAAATCAAGTGGTGTCCAGTTATACATACTGTGCCGTCTACATTATCGTGATGTGGGTATTTAAGTATCACACCGTCTAATTTATTAATTAATATAAGCTCAATAAATTCCATCGGGATAAGTTTTCCCAAAATCTTAAAAATTATTTCATAGATATCATGAAGTACTAAGACAGATGTAAAAATATCAATAACTTGTCAGGTGTCAATGTGACTGTTAATGTCAAACGAATCTGTCAAATTTGGAATTCCGATATCGTTTGTCTTTGAGCCATGAATTAAGAAATCAAAGAAATATTGATGTAACATGTTTAAAATAAAATTATTTAAGCCAAAAATAGCAAAAAAAAACTATACTGAAATTATCAAAAAACTTAGATACTTTTTAAAAAATTTCGTTTATCTTTTTATTTCCTACCATAAACCTATCTACAAAAAAGGTCTATTGTATAGCGATTTATTTATTGTAAAGCGAGGAATTCTATAAAATAAGTCTGCATAAACAGAGACGTGGGAGTGAGAACGAGACGTTTACAAAATAAAAGAGATGTACAAATGTATCACGAGACCATCTTTTGCTTTCTTTGATCGTTTAACCAATCAGGAAATAAGGAAACAGCTACGCAGCGATATATACGTACATAATATAACAGTTGTGCTTCGGCAATGTGTTAATATTGTTGAACGGATTCGTTTTTCGATTGTATTATCTGCAAATATATATGACACAAATGGTTTTATACGAAAAACTTAGTAATAGAAAGTAAAAGCGTCCTTTGTATTGTATGTTTATACTATTTATAACATATGAGTGACAATAGAAGTGTGGTAAGTTCTTGTATGTGTTTTGTATGATTGTATGGAAAGTGAGTTGGTAACTGGCTGGATGGATGATTGAGATCGGGTAATGACCGGTCCCCGACACTCAGACACTTTTGTTAGGACGTCACAAGCAATGTCAATTTGTATAGCATAATTTTCAATCCATTTCAAAGGTCACGTTAAAAATACCAAGCAATTGTATATTTTTACTGCAGATGATGGAGGACAACTCGGAGGCCCAGATGGAGACGGACGTGTCGTCGACTACCACTGACGCCACAGACATGCAAGAAATATCTGGATCTAATGATGTAGTAGAAACTATTATAGTTATAGAGAAAATGCAAGAAGATGATTCCCCAGATTCAGTGCAGCAGTCAGCAGATATAGAAAACGTTGTGACAAATGACTGTGTTCAGTCGACTCAACCCTGTGAAGGTACTTCTAAAATACAGACTGACTCATTACATACATCAATTACAAACTCTCCCCAGAAAGATAAACAAGAAGAGGAAGTCACAGAATCCAAGGTGATGTCACCCTCAATTGTTGAGATGAGTCCAACTAAGTCAACAAAATCACCATCACCAACGTCTTGCATGGAAAATAACCCAACTAATTCAACTTCACCACCAGCTTGTGTGGGTAAAAGTCCAATTAAGTCAACAGAATCATCATCACCTGTGTCTTGTGTGGAAAAGAGTCCAACTAAATCAACTTCACCACCAGCTTGTGTGATTAAAAGTCCAATTGAATCAACAAAGTCACCATCACCTGTGTCTTGTGTACAAGAGAGTCCAAATAAGTCAACAAAATTACAATCACCTGGTGGAACGTCTCCTGTAAAAATTATTACTTCATCAATGCAAACAGCATTAGAAGTGACAGCAGATTCATCATGTGACTTAAAAAATTGTGCAGAGGATAAAATCCTTGAAGGCCAAGAAAAAATAATTCAAGTAGAGAACAGTGCAACTATTTCTGATCATCAATATGCAGCTAAGGAACAGCCTGAAGAGAAGGAACAGGTGAACCAACCTGATCATAAAGCTGAAGAAGAGAAAGAAATTGTTGAGCCAGAAATTGTTGAATCACAGAGCAAAGAGGTTAACATTGAGGATAATAAGTCAAGCGTTAAAGATGTAGATAATAAAATTGATGAATCTACAGTATCCTCATTAACATCAGAAAAAGAAACCTCAATTGATTCTCAAAATGAAGCAAGTTCTGATGTGTCAGAGAAAGAACATAATAGAAGTATTAGCAGGGAACTGAAGTCTCTTATTAAATCGGCCAAGGAATCAAAAATTATAAGTGAATGTACTCAACTAACGAGCAAGACAAGAAAATCTAGAACTCCCTTAGATGCAAGCTTGACTTCTCTGGTAGAAGCAGATAAAGTACAAGGTGTCAGACGTAGTAGTACCAACTCACAACTGAGCACATGCAGTGAGAAATCTGACAAGGCAAACATTAAGAGATCAATGCGGTCGCAAAATCCAGAATTCGTTCATAAGGTAAAGCAATTTTTAAATACAGTGACAGGTAAAAGTGGTAAAAATGACAATGACAGTGTCATTTCCGATGAGGAGTGTGAAGATAGTAAAAATGACATCAAAACCTCTCCCCTTACAAAAACGAAAAAAACAATAGTCAGTCAAGTAAGTCCTTGATCCTTGAGTTACACACTCTAGCATATATTTTGAACAGTGCTTTGTTACAGTTAAAAAATGCAATTGCCTGCTTACTCCATATGGTAGATAGATAAGTAATGAAAAGAAAATCAAGTAAAATATAGGTTATGCTATTCCTTTTGTCTGTAAAATGTCAGAGCAAATAATTGGAAATAGATTTATTTCTTTTTGTTCCAATTTAATGTAAACAGACAAACTTTTACTTCAACATAACCATAGATAATTTATTATGTTTCTTTAAACTATAGGATCAACAGGACGGCAAACTTCGTTCAGATTTATTCTGCTGGCGTTGTCACTGGCAAGTTGAGCAAGGTGTTAACGAAAGGACACACCATCCAATGCTGTGTACCATCTGCCCGAGATCATTCCACTACAAATGCCTGTCTGGAACAGAGCGCAACAAAATAACCAATGATAAAAGTTGGGTTTGTCCTGAGTGCCTTTCTGTATTGAATGCAGAAAGTTCTGATACCAGGTAAGTTATAGTTGTATTTTAAAATACTGTCTTTCCACTGCCAAGTTATGTGTACATGGTCTTGTAAATACTGTTAAAACTAGTCACTTTAATTATTTAGATTAAGACAAACCATTAATAATCACAGAAAGCCGTAGATTTTATTTTAGTCTCAAGAAGCTTGAGAAAGTATTAAGAATTTATTTCTGTATTTATCACCATTTTTCTTTTCTTTTCAGATCGCCGGCTATGAAAAAAATATCGTTGGGCATGCTGTGTGATCTACTCAAATTTGCATTGGAACGCCTCATGGATTTTAATGGGGTAATTCTTTTAATATTTTACTTTTGTAATTTAGACTTATATTGAAAAAATACTGTGAACTGAGAAAAGAAGGAGTAACATATAATTGCTATAAAACGTTTTATAGTTTCTTTAATATTCAAATTTATAGTATTAGTAAGATATATTAATATATTCCATTACATAGTATATTAATGTGGTACATAATTAGATTTAAATTTTTGTCAATATTATAAATTATGTAACTCCAGTATAAAGAAAGTAAAATATGCTGTATACAGCAAATACCAACAAGAGATATTGGTCAATTATTGATTACACTGCTACTTAAAATCAAATATTTCGACTAATAACTAAATTTAATTATAAGAAAAATATTTCTTAGGCTTACAATAGCATTTATATGTATATATTTGCATTAAAATCAAAAGCAAATTTTTAGAATTTTATTTTCTTCACAACGAATGTTTGTGTTCGAGGCACGCCGTTGTGCTCGGTGAAATGACCTTGCTACTTATCTACGCAATCGACTGCGCGTGACGCCGCAATCTTGTCTCTCGCTCTAACGCCGCACGATCAATACGGAGGCTTGTGTACTCCGTCTCGCTCACTCTCGCCCTACACTAATAATAAATACAACGCGTCTGTGTGTTCTTGCTTTGTTGCATACTTCTCGAATGTTCGTTCTGGTTCTATATGTTACCCACCCACATTTGAATAACGTGATTTGGGTTTAATTATTGTTGAAGATTACATAGTATTACGATTTTTTTTTATAGTTATTAAATTAATTTAAATACATGACCTCAATAATATTGTCCTACTTGATTGTCCTAAATGAAATTATTAACGATTCGCTAAGAATTATTTATTCTCTTTAGGTTTATACAAAAGCTGATAGTAAATATTGATAAAAGAAACTGCACAATTTTTATGCATGTCATGGTGAAAAATGACGATTGCCTAATGACTTGCTTCTATAAATAATTATTTTCCTATTCACAATTAGAACCATCTTTTCTCTGCCAATGTTTTTCTCTTTTCATGTTGGTTAGTAAATCGATCAAAGTAATGTAAGTGACAACAGAATATTGCGTACGTAAAATAATGTGGCGCTAAAAGGTGAATGCAAAAATATTTAATCTTCCTTTGCTCCAAACAAATAAGTTTTTTAACAAACGTTAGGCATGTTTTTACTAGATAAAAAGTTATTTTGCCAATAACAAGGGAATAGTCAGACGGCTAGCGTCGATTCCGCGTGAAATTTAAAAAAAAAAAGTGAATAGGTTATGCTCTATTCCAGATTTTAATAAACATCCACAAATTCATAAAATATTAGCAATTAGTAAGATATAAACATACTTCGAAGTTATATTTTTTTTTCTCCCTTTACTTAAGTACTAAACTTAATATGTATTCAACGATTGCACGGGGAAGGGATTGGCTCCTGAAACAACCTAGTTCAAGAGCCAAGGGCGTCCATCTAAACATTCGCAATGATAATATCAGTAAAGGTGAGAAATTAGATTATTTATTTGTTATGTTTTTCCTTGAAGGCGGAACCGTTCATGCAGCCGGTGGACCGGGCAACATTCCCCGACTACGACAAATACGTGGTGCATCCGATGGACTTGTCGCTCATGAAGAAGAACATCAGCGAGGGTCTGTACGGCAGCACTGAAGCTTTCCTAGCTGACACACAGTGGATATTTCATAATAGCATCATATTTAATACTTGTGAGTACATTTTTAACTATATTTTAAGGAAATGTCCAAATTGCCGGATTAAGTATATAAAATTATATTATACTAGCTGCCGACCACGACTCCGACCGTGGGGAATTTAGCCAAAAACTTGATTAGTAGCCGACGTGTCCGTTCAGGCTATGTTCTACATGTATGTCAAATTACAGCCAAATCCATTCAGCCGTTCTGAATATACCTTCTAATAAACACACATACATCTAACCATTTGCATATATAAAATTAGTAAGATTAGACTAGATTTCTTTTTTCAAAAAGCATGATAGATTATTCGTGAAAGTGCTTGTGCTATTAGAATCATTGCAAGGATTAATTTTAGTCTAGAGTATACCCTAAAACTAGTACAGTAAGATTATAGCTACCAAAAGAGTAAAATGGAAAAATTTCGGAAATGACGTTTTTAATAGCATTTTACTACCCATTTCCTTGAAAAGAAATAAAACGATTAATCATAGTAAATCGTACCAAATCTAATGTATACTTTGATTAACGTATCACTGATCACCTTCTATGTATATTATGTTTATAATCTGTGTGTGTACCCATTGTATATTACAGCGACGTCGAAGTTGACAGGACATGCGCGTGCGCTGGTGCGCATGTGTCGCACTGAGATGGCGGAGATCGAGGCGTGCCCGGAGTGCTACGCTGCTGCGCACGCGCGCCGACCCACCTGGTTCACTGACGTCTGCAGCACACCACATATTCTACTCTGGGCTAAGCTTAAAGGTAAATTAGGATTTGCGTATTTTGGTACAATAGATTTAACGGGTAAGAAATTTTTAAAGCCAGTTAGCCTTTTGCATAGTAATACGAAAAGTGGCGGAGGAATAATTTTCTTGAGGAAAGAATGGAAGGTGAAGTGGATGTGACGAACGATGCATAGGAAACAGAAATATATTCGTTCTGTGCGTCCCCTCTCCCATTTATTAAAGGCAAGCGACGCATCTGCAATTGGAGATGTCACTTCGTTATTTCGGCGAATTCAGGCAGCTTCCTCGTTTGCCACCTCACCTTATGATATAACAAACAAATATTTCCCATGGTAATTTAACCATAAAACATAGGGTTTTGTTGTTATTTTACACTGTTTGTTAATAGTACAGTTTGTAAGAAAAGTATTTGTGATACATTTGCAGGTTTCCCGCACTGGCCGGCGAAGGCGATGTCGGTGAATAACAGCGGGCTGGTGGATGTGCGGTTCTTCGGTGCACACGACCGCGCCTGGGTACCTTCAAAGGATTGCTATCTATATTCTGAGAAGGATCCCAATAACTTTAGAACTAAACGACAAGATATACTTGATAGTATGCAAGTAAGTTGAAAGATTATTGATTTAGAATTCTTACATATTAATGAAATTGAAGTATCATCATGTAATATCAAAAAAATCATTTGGGTAGCTGCGTCTGTCTGTATGTGTGTTCAAAAGGTCGCGTTTTTTCCGGGTAATCTCCGGGAGACTTGGAGTCATTTAAACGATCCTTTGACGGAAAGGTAGCTTACGCAGGCATATTATAGGTTACTGACGATGTCGCGGGCGACCGCAACTATACTGTATAGTTAATAACTTTAACGATTGCTCAAAACAAGCGGATTCAATAATATAAAATTTTAATACTCATAAAAATTAAGAAAGAAATGACTGGGAAAGTAATGTTTGATATATTACGAAAATAAATTATATTTTTATTTTAGGAAGCAGAACTACACATTCGCAATATATCAAGAAAATATGGAAAATTCGTGTACCCGCCTTTTAAAACACAATTTGATCCTACTAAATTAAATGAACAATTAAAAATGATGGTAAGTAAAAACTGACAAGTAACAAAATTGGTCAAAAACATTACTAGCATTTTTATTTTATTAAGTAACAGAATTTTTAATACCACGTAGTAATTTTGCAGAGGTAAAATGTTCCAATAATCCTAGTAAATCTGTTTATTTAGATTCCATCATTCGATGGCGAATTATCTGTGGCGACGAAAGAGAAGTCAGGAGGTTCAACACAAAGTACTGGAAGAGACAAAAGTAGATCTAATTCTAAAAGTTCTAAGAGTTCCTCTACTCAAGACGGGTGAGTCTATGCACATTATATATGTATACTATGACTTTATATGTATTTAAAAAAAATCTATGATTTCTTTTCAAGTCAACCTTCTGCAATGTTCAGTAAAATGTACTAAAAAAAAAAACAAGATTTATCTAAAACTAAAACTAGCTGTCGCCCGTGACTCCGTCCGCGCTGGTAAAAAATAGATGTTGACCGATTATCAGACCTAATCAATATGCTCACCAAATTTCATGAGAATCGGTCAAGCCGTTTCGGAGGAGGATGGGAACGAAAATTGTGACTCGAGAAATTTATATATAAGGTGATAATAGCTCAAAGAGAGATACAAGTATATATTTGAAATTGTTTTGGTTACAGCGATGTCAGTGAAGGAGAAGAAATGTCTGTTACAAGAAAAATGGCGGACGGCGCTGAAATTGCTAAAGAAGAAGACTATTCCATTAACGATAAGTAAGATAATTTTTAAATTGTATTAAGTTAGTAGCTATCGTCTGCGATACCGTTCTTGCCAAACTAAAAACAGACATTATTAGCTATAGCAGCTTTTGTGTTTGTCCAGGGTATGTTCTACATCTTTGCCAAATTTCAACGAAATCTATGTAGCCGTTCTGGACTTCAACAACATCCATCCATCCATACATCCAAACATTCGCATTTATAATATTATAATAATAAGATTATGCTAGATTAACATTGCTTTCGCCTACACATAAATTGTTACTTAGAAACATAGACATTGTATATTGATTAAAAATAAGTAAAGAGTTTTGTCTTCAATAATAATTATAGTTAAACTGCATTTCAGAAGTATGGAAGTCGATATGGTCTCACCGAAGAAGGAACCTTCTAGAAAACGTCGACGTTCTGATTTAGAGGAAGCTGTTGTAACCATATTAAGTGTAAACAACAGTCCCGTCGCAGAGAAACGTAAACGAACTAATGGTGAAGCTAAAGCAATCAAAAGCGAAGAAATTAAAGAAAAAAATACAGCCACAGATAATAAACAAATTGAAACAATAAAAGATGAAGTTATGGACACCACAAACAATGATAATGAACCGTCAAGTAGTACCAGTAAAGAAAATACTACTGATCCAACTTCACCTAAAATTATTATAAAAGTAAAATTACCCAAAAGCACTCCCAAAAATAAAGATAAAAATAATATCGAAGAAATGTCAACAACTAAAAAACAACCAAAATTAGATAAATCAAGTAATCTAGAGAAAGATGACAAACCGAAGTCAGAAAAACGTAGAAATTCCAAGAATAAAGTATTAAATAATAATGGCGATAAAATTATTAAAATAAAGCAATATAGCTACGAGAAAAAGATTGATAATTTAGATAAATCGGCTGACAAAGATTTAAAAGAAGATACAAACAACAAGATTAAAGAACTAGATGTAAATAAAACTAAAAAAAATATACCTAAAACAAACTCTGAAGAACAAAAATCAGCAAATGCTGCACCCGCAGACGATGACCTTAGCTTAGCTGTCATAGCTCGGGAATCTAAAACAAATATTATTAATAACAATATCACCGGATTACCAACTATCACTAGTGTTCGAAGTCTCTTGATCCCGAAGAGTACTGAAAATAGTTCTAAAATAATTAACACGCCTGCAACTACCACCTCAATAGAAATAACTATAGAAGACACGTCAGAGTCAAGTATTTTCACTCCAACCAGTACAGATAATGTACGTAATATGAAAGAAGCTGTCACAAAACTGCAAAAGTTAAGAAATGAAACCGACCCTCCACCCGTTGGTCGAGTAGGCGTTCGTGCTTTCGCCCGAATGTCCTCCTTAGAGATTACACCAAAAGAAAAGAATCCAATACAAGTAGAAATCAAATCAGAACCCATTGATTTAGATGACATCGACAGACACAACGAAAAGATGGATCTAATGAATGCTTTCAAACTGCAACCGGTGAATCCGCCCGTCTCTACTAGTTTACGTGAAGTTAGAATAAACAAACTAGTTGTTGCACCAGTCAATACACGAAAGAGTACGTCGAAACCTCCCGAGATCCGAGTCCGGGCTAAGAAGACCTTCCCACAGCCTAAGAAGGCTGATGATGTGAGATCTGAGCTTAATGGCAAGAATTCAATGGTATACATACCTATACAGCCGCCCATAACACAGGCGCCGGTCAGAGGAGTCAGGCCGATTGTCACCAACTGCCTTAACGCGCCCAATGCAAGATTGCCAGCTCCTGTTGTAACCTCGGGTAAGTTAACTATAGAGCAAACATTCGCATGTAGAATCTGAAAAAAAATACACAACTAAAGCTGGCATGTTCATAAATATGATTTATCCTTGACCAACATGACTAAAATAAATCTTTTTTGACCATGAGTAATGTAAATTCAGCCACAAATCAAGTATACTTGTAATTTTTTTCAGAATTAATAATAAAAATTGAACTCTTTGACAGCAAACGGCGTCAACCCCTGTCCCGTACTGCCGTTCAGCATGCCATCCTCGATGCCCAAAGTTGGCCCGGCGACTACGAACACGTGCAACGTTCTGTCCACCGTGCCCACCGCTGGGCTGAACCCCAGCCCAGTACAGGTGCCTACAGTGGGCCAAGTGGCCACCAACGTCCACACCGTGCCATTGCTCACATCACTCAACGGACAGTGGACCTTCAGTCTACAGCCTGTCATGTCTGTCGGGGGATTAGATGTAAGTTGTGCCAATTTTATTAAGGAAATAGTGAATAGAATAAAATGGCCTATGTTACTTCAACTACCTTCCAGTGAAAGACCCGTCAAAATCGGTCCAGCCTTTACGGAGATTAGCCGCAAAAACGCGGTTATTAAAACCATTGGTTATTATTTTTGACATAACAAACATAATATGTTTTTGGGAATTTTGATCTCAGAAACCCATGATTTTTTTTCGATATTGCAGATAGATTAAAAATATTGTATATATTACATTGTCAGATGGCCCTAGTCGTTAACTCAATTTGAAATTATTTAACAATTCGTGGATTAGTCGATTTTATATTACGTGTTGTGAATTATATTCATGATTTGATCGGCAGGATTCTTCCACGTCAGTACTAAACGGTATGTCGGAGCGGTGCACTGCGGGGGTGAGTGCGGCGGGTGCGGGGGGACCGCTGTCCTCCTTCCCCTCGCCCCTGGCCCTCGCCTCCCCCAACGTGGCCTGCTCCACCCCGCCGGTGACGTCAGCGACGCCGGGGAGCAGGACTGACACCCCCGGAGAGGTAATTTAAACCATATCTTAGTTATAAAGTAGCATAACATATTATCCATCCATTCATCGATATATTTCAATGTATGAATGGATAGATGGATGGATGTTTGATGTAGAAGGTATCTGCGGAACGCCTGTACGGATCTTGATGAAATTTGGCATAGAACAGTCTGGAAGAACACATAGGTTACTACTTATTAACAAAATTTCTTAAAGGGCGCGGACGAAGTCGCGGTTGACAGTTATCTATAAGTTAAGATTATATTATGACTTTACTGATAAGAGTGTTGTATGTGGTCAGTTGCCGCGTCTGCAGCAGCGGCCGCTACTGCACCCGCTGGACGCGAGCGCACCGCTGGGCTCTGTGCCGCCACCCTCCACCGCAGGACCCCTCACCGCCAAGCTCAACCAGAACGCAGTTAAGGTATGATACTATTAAAACACTATCAGTTGATACCACCAAAAGTTTAGGTTTTTTTTCAGTTATTCAAATAATTTGTAAGCCTATTTTGTCCTAACAACTATCCAATTAGTCTTTTCTATCATTTAGACGTTTTGCTTGAAGTAAATGAAATAATAGGTAAATTATAAACTCCTTACACCTCAAGTTTGGTAGAAATCTACGTAGAGTAACGATATTATTAAAATCGTAATGTACCCAAATCCAATGATTACAACATCACCAATTTATGATATTTCCAGCTGACAGATTTCTTCAGAACACTATTGGAGGAGTCGCTGGAGAAGATAGACGAACCCGCGGCGCAGGCGACGACAGCGCGCCTGCAGCTCGAGCAGACCAAGTGGCTGCACCAGCAGGAGATCAGCGAACTGAAGCACAACCATGGTCAGTACTGAGTTTACACATGTTTTATATTTATTTGTCAACTTACTACTACGACTGACTCGCAGTTAACCCACGGTTATTTGGAACAGATGTTATGGTATCTCTGTGCAGTCTCGATGGCGTTATATTTCGTACTGCTAATTAAAAGAAATTGTATTTTTGATATATAAACTAAATACTATTGACCGTGCGTTTTTGAGAACAAAATCTTCGTTTAAAAAAATATTGACAAAGAGATAGTGAAGTTTTATACAGAGATTTTTGAGTCAGAAACCCACGGTGAGTCGATTTTTGTTTTACCAATTTAATAAGTTTTTTTTTCAATTATTTTATTATATTTCTATATACATAAATATTACTTAGATTTAAACAAATGTAAATGGTGTTTGAACAATTTTAGAGGTGTTTGATCACTATAAGTGTTGTGTATATGATTCCAGAGCTGATAGTTGCGGAGATGCGCGCGACGTTTGAGAAGGAGAAGAGTCGTGCGGTGAACGAGGCGAGGCGCGCCGCTCAGCAAGAACTCGAGGCCGCCGTCAAACTTGCCAAGTCCAAGCAATGGTGAGCACAGCTGGGGTCGAACTATCAAAACACATTTTTGTTTTCGTTTTTTCCATCGATAATTTCACATATTATTTCTTACTATTATAATATTATAAATGAGAAAGTTTATATGAATGGATGTTTGTTTGAAGCTATCTCCGGAACAGCTGAAAGGTTTTCTATTATATTTGTCACAGATGTAGAACATAGTCTGGAAGAACACAGGCTACTTACAAATTTCTTAAACTGCGTGCAGACGAATGCAGGCAAAAACTATTAAGTATAAATATTAATAAATTTCTTCAATTCTGTCAAAATGTCATTGAATTTATAATAGCCGTCTTGTAATAGTTGTTTTAAACGTTTGATTCCTTAACTATAATGAGGTTGTAGGTGTTCGAACTGCAGCAAGGAGGCGCAGTTCTACTGCTGCTGGAACACCTCGTACTGCGACTACTCGTGCCAGCGCGCGCACTGGTCACAACACTACTCTGTCTGCACGCAGCAGAGACAGGTATCATCATCAGCTCACTATACGTCCCCACTGAGGGACTCGAAGCCTAACTTAAGTTAGGGATGACTAGGCCATAGTTAACTACGGTGGCCAAACGCGTGTTGACTTTATCCATATTTTTTAATTTCTCCGCAGATATGTGCAGGTTGCAACACGATGTTTTTTACAAGAACGTGGGATAAATGTACATATGTAAATCGAAAAACACATTGATATAGGTCAAGATTCGAATCCAGGACTCGCATGTTTCCAGTTGTGCTTTACCATTAAGCCGACACTTTTCGTATACGTCTTTTCAAAATCTCGGCGGCTCAAGGTGGTTAAGGTTAAGCCCCGCTGCATCTAAAATAGTGTTCTGCGCAACGACTGATATTCTAAGCCGCCAAGATATTTGAAAACCTCTACTACTAAAGGTAGTCTGACTTTGTAATATGATTTTATAATTTGTCAAGTTTAAGTTGGACAAGATGTCAAAGAATTAAGTAAATTGTTAAAGGGAGCCATAAGCTATCGTTTGCATCGAATCATATTTTCTGAAGATTAATAACGCAAGTAAAAATTATGAGAGTGGATTTTTTTTAATCTGTGATATAACTATTGTAGGACAACGAAGGGATGGACGGGAGCCCGCCGGGTGATGGCAACAAATCCGCAGACTGCAACAAACCGATGCCAGTGAGTTGTAATGAAAAATTACATCAAACATCTATTATATACTCCATAAATTTAACTACCAATACAAGATACATATAGTCTTTTTATTAGACTAACGACCTCCCGCGACTCCGTCGCGTGGAATTAAAGAAACATGACAAGACTACGATCTATGAGTAGACTAAATTTCATCTACATTTGTTCAGCCGTTCTGGAGATATCATCAAAAAAAACATTCATCCATCCATCCATCTAAACATTCGCATTTGTAATATAAGTAAGATAACTAAGTAGTAAGTAAGGTAACTAGTAAGTAACTTTAATATAATTAAGTTCAGTTTTTACTTTCTACCAATTGAAAAATTTATTACATGTATTTTAATTCTCTTGATATTATTGTAAAATTTCTACAAAATTATTATAATAACGTTATCACTGCAAATATCAATTATTTGCCAAATAAAAAAATTTTGCTTCCAAAATTAAGGTCATTATTTGAAGCTGGTTTTATTGGTGATGTATACTTATGGTGAATGAATTCCTGGTGTTACAGAAGAGTGCGCCGACCGCGCCCACGCTGGCGCCAGTGCGCGTCTACACTCATGAACAGAACACTCAGAAACCCTCCATCATAGGTGACGTAATGCCCCAACTACCCACAATGTTTGAACATCCTCTATAAAATACTCCGATAATAAAGCGCGAAAATTTGCGTTTCCCGACACGCTTGATCAAACAATTCGTTATATTGCGAATCATCGCTAATATAAATGCACTTCGCTTCGTTTCTAGGCACAAATGTATCTTTTAAATTAAAAAAATGACGTAAGTAGTTGTGGTTGAAATTAAATTTGTTTTGTTTTTTTTTCCTATAGTGAGTATGTTTGAGGACTCTACTGGTAACCAGACTATGAAGTGCGTAGGCACGTACAAGCCGGGACCGCCCAAACTATCACCACTAAATGTTAATAAGAAAGTGAGTTTAAACATTAAAACCTATGACCTAAATACTACTATAAAATTGTGCATTGCCTAACCGTTGGCTTCTGAAACAAGAATCTTTGTATAAATGGTCTTTAAAAGCCACGTTGAGTTAAATCCATTTCACATCAAAATAATAAAAAACTTTTTTCCCAGGTCACCCCGGACGATAGCGCAAAAAAAGTGGTGACATCAGGCGGGTACCTGATCGTGGGGGGCACTGGGGGTCCGAGTAACGCGATAACGCGCCGTCCCCCAGTGCAGTACTACACCTGAGAGCGACAGAACACCCTCCAGACCCCTTGTGATATTATCGACTTGACATTAGACAATTAAAAACATCAAGACTGAAGACAAGGATGACATGCAATAACTGCCAAGCAAATCTATAGACCTTACAAAGTTTTCTGTGGAGTGATTGGTGGCGCCACTGACGTATGTAGCCATCTTTGTTTGGTTTACTTACCCGGCATTCAATTTGGCACACCGGAACAAGGACTCTATTTCTACTGATGAGCCAACACAAGCGCTACTGTACCATAGCTTAAATTTTTTTGTATTACAGATACTTTTAGTCCTACATAGGTTGGACTGAAGTCAGATTAATCATTTTAATTATTAATTCCTATATAAATTGGCTATTAAAATTAGCTAATTGAGTAAAAAAGTAACATCCTGTTTCTAAAATTTGTAATTTTTTCCTGTATCAATGCAATTTTACAAGAATATTTTTGTTTTGTCAAATTGTTTCGAATAACGGTGCTGTATTTTTGTCTCTAAGTAAAATCCCACCTATAATAATTATAAAATTTTGACAAATTGTATATCATGTGCCCGATAGATGTGAAATTATGAATATTTTCATATATTGTAAATAAGATCTTTTAACAGTACATAACAACAACAAAATTATGAGAAATGTATCATAATAAATATTTGGATGTCAAAATACTCCACGGCTGGCTTTGCTGAGGTAATAAGTAATTTTAATTAATTTGGTTGTATGTACAAAATTGATAGATAATAAGTTCGCTAGGTTCATTGTAAATCTATTGTAAGTACTAAGATACATTTTAAAACAATATTATATTATGTTTTGCATTTGCATTGTTCAGTTATATAATATGAATAATTAACCGTTGGTTTCTGATACCAATATCGTCATGCCTGTCATCTTTGACAACACGGAGATAACAATATGTTTTAAAACGGATATTTCGGTCTCAGAAACCCACAGATAATGTTTTTTAAATTTCTATCCAATAATATAAAAGCAAGTAGAATTATGCACAATGCTAGTTTTCACAAATGGGATATGTCAAATAAAGAGTCAAGACATTTTATAATGTTTGCTAAAGATTATGTTTGTAACCTTTGATATCTAATCTGGTGCAATAAGTAAAATGCAGACTTGTTTATTTTCTCTTAATAATTACATAAATGGTCTTGAAAATAAACATTTATAGAAACTAAGTAATGGTAAACACCTATTAATTTTATATAATTAATCTTACAGATGTTGTAAGTTAGACAAACACATAGTCATCAATGCCTTTTTAAGTCTAGATATTAGTGAAATCTAGATTATTTTCATAATAAAGTGGGAATCTAGTATATTCTTTATTCGTTGATATGTTAAGACTGGTAATTATAAGTCTATATTTTAGCAGTTGGCTATTATGTTTTTATTTTTAAATTTAATCATAGATTTCGGATATTTTATTATTTTTATTTGATTTAATATTGAAGTGCTGCCATGTTAAATAATTGGTGTGATGGTGTGTTATAGCATTGTCTCTTTCTTTATTTTATTAAACAGCTGATAATTGCAATTTAATATAGTTAGCATTTAATATGTAAATATTGCATTAGTTCTTTACTATTGTCAGATGTAGCATATAAGCTTGGATTGTAAGAAATCTTTATAATTTCAAAAGTTTTAATTTTATACAATTGGTTAAAGGAGCGAGTTTTATCCAATTCTGCTAGAAATTATTTTTCATGTGAAAAATAAAGCAAGATGTAATTTTTTTTTTAATTAAGTTCTCGAAGCTTTGAGCTCTTGTAAAATATATTTCAGATTAAATAAAATTGTTAAAAACATTCATGATTTTATTGTCCATTGTCACAATAAAGTGTGTTTGTGTTTCCAGTGATGACATCTGTGTGAAAAAATATCACATTTTTGAATTGCAATAACTTAATTAGAACTTAATAATCTATCCATTTTCGACGAAAAAAGACAACAAAATGTCAACTAATTTATACAAGGATTTTCGAAAGTGAGAGCATAATTTCGAATTATACTACCTTATACTTAATCAGTTGGGTAGAATATGTCACATTAGTTTTATATAGCAAGAAAAAATCATTTTAGTATTGACATTTAATTATCAGATTAAATATTAATGGTGTTTCAGTCAATGAAGTAATTGAAAGCTTTCTCTTAAACATTATAATATATCACAATTCAAATATAATTAAAAAGATCAGTCTACAGCATTATACAGAGGAAAAGTTTGAAAAAAATTAACAACTCATTGATTATAAAGATTGACAAAAAGAAAACAAGAATAGAGGTTACTGAAACTTAAATACACGGATTGTGTATTTTTATACATACAGTGGAAATAATATAACATTTGAAATATTTTTTATAGATAAAATGAAGTTCAATGAAAGTATTTTGAAAAAGAAGTGAATGAAAGCTTTTCTCAGTGCTACAATTTTAATCATTTTTGATTTAATCACAATTTATGTATGAAAATATTCTGACCTATAAAGGCATCTATATGAAAAGTAGTAAAAAAAAGTTATACAATTGTTTAAAATTAATACTCTCGTTGGAAAAAATGTTTACTGACCAGCAGCAATATTTCAACAATTAACAATTAAATTATTACCTTAATTTATATTATAGTTGTTACTTTACATATCTACTAGCACCTGCCTTAGCCAACTGATCTGCCATTTCATTACCATGGACTCCTTTATGCGCCTCCACATAGACCCACTTTATTTGTAATTTATTCTGAACTTCATCTAATTCCTTAAAGTCCTTTTCATTCTTCACTGGTTCACCAGATTGCAATTTCCAACCTTTTCGTTTCCACCCTATTGATATAAATTATCATTTGAGAGAAGGTAAAATCTTCAATATATGAATTGTATCTTCAATATTGAAGATTTTTTATTTTAATTATAACATTAGCTCTAGATAGTGATTGTAGACAAAATCATCTTAACTTTTTTGACAATCATATTTTGGAAATCCTTAAGGCTTAAATTAATATTTTCTTAACTACTGAAAGTCAAATGAAGGTCCATGGTCTCTGTCTACCTCTCTGGGTTATGGGGTGAGTTATGTTTTTGTCTTAACTATTGCCAATAAAAATGATATTAACATAATATAAATAAACACATTTAAGAGAAACACATCTGTATGCCATTTTGTTTTAGTAACATTGCTTACCTGGCATCCATTTGGTGACAGAATTGATTAGAAACTGTGAATCCGTGTTTATTGTTAGTTTTTTTACTTTGTTTTGAAGGGCAATTTTTATAGCGGAAGTTGCTGCCTGAATTTCTCCACAGTTGTTGGTTGCCCGACCAGTGACCGGCTCACTCACATTTAGTGGGTGACCATCACCCCAATACACTCCTATACCTGCCCTGGCACCATTCCGACCGTTTGATGAGCAAGCACCATCGGTATATACCTATTGTAGAAAAAAGTTTCCATTGTCACCAAAAAGTGCTATGAACCAACAGCTGACTGTATTTGAGACACTACTTGAGATTGGATTCTATTAAAAATGTCCCTAGGATAAAACTGTGTAGCTAAATTACAAAGGTTTTATTTAAACTTTATTACCTGTACATAACCATCTTCATCTTCACTAAATTCAAATTTTCCACTTTTACGTTTCTTTGGTTGTGGTAAATCTATCAACATAGTCCTTTTGTCGGTCGATTTTGTACCTTTCTTTATTATTTTATTTACATCTTTTTCAAAGTCTTTTAACCTTTTTTCAATATCATCCATTTGTTTTGTTAATACATCGTTTAAATCATCTTCATCGCTGTCGGTGTCGATTTGATTTTCAGGTGTTTTTGTTCGTTTCCTGGAAGGTATAACAGGTTTCTGCATCTCTTCAGTTTTAGGTTGATTTTGGGAATTTGTAGCTTTTACTATTTTCTTCCCATTTGTAACATTGCCGGTTTTTTGAGAACCACCTTCCGATATTATAAATTTTTCAGCATCAGCAGCTGTGTTGAACTTTTTGTAACGAGCACCAGGAAAACCCTTTACTTGATTTTCACAATCGGCCCAATTCATAAATATCCCCGAAATTCGTCCTCGCGCTACCGCATAATAAGGCATCTTGGAAATAAATAATGTTTTAAAAGATGACAAAAATTTAACGTTAAATAAGGCATACCTTATTGACATTGACATTTAAGTATAGTGACGTTTCTATATTTCCTTGGCAAATGTCAAACTTTTGTCTATAGTACCTGTTTCAGTTTACTCATTAATTTGTAAAGTTTCAAAACTATTATATTTAATTAATGAAATGCACAGAAAGAAAGATATATTTTCCTTATCCATGCATCTTCTCATCTGGAGACTCCACTTCCACTTTCCTTATAAGAAAAAGGGTGGGAAGGGAAAGCACACGCACACTCCACAGACGAAACGCAGAATTGCTTCCACTTCTCGGCTGTCTTCTGTATTTCACCGGGCGAGCCGGGCCAATTCGTGCGAATATGTTAAAGCGGGCTCTACCACTGATAATGTGTTTTTCAAATGTAGAATACCAGGCTAGAGTTAAGCAGAATCAACTCATCCGATGTAAAAAGTTACATTTCTTTAATATAGATGTTAATATTTAGTCAGTAGCAGTTTTTGTTCTACTTGAATTCAGTGCGAGATTTCTATGGCGCACGTTTTTTTCGGAGGTAACAGGGTGTATGTGAGACTATGATTCGAAAATCTGTGGTGCCCCTTTCTGTTCAGCGCCCTACCATAACGCCCGCACTTTATATAACTGAAAATATTCTTCAAAGTTGTACCAAATTTTCGTTGACATTTTATTACATTTTGTCTAATATGATAGCTTAAATAAAACACATTATTAAATACGATGTTCTTTATTAGGATACTTAACTAATTCTGTCACCAATATTATCATAATATTGTTAACATTTTAAATCTATGTCACCACAAACATTTGTCAAAGAATGTTTTTTGAAGTTTTTTTTTTAGTTATATTATGCTGTTAAAATAATAATAATAATAAGTTGTTACAAAAATGTCAATTTATTTTATCAACAAGTAAAATGGATGTTAATAATTTCATTGGAGATGGAAAATGTAAATTATCAAGCAAACTTGTGCTTCATAATAAAAAATAGTACGACATAATTACATAATTCTAGTGTAGACAATTATACATTCATGTCGCTCAATAATAATAAATTACAATACAAATAATATGAAAAACGCAATAGCATGGTAACACCCATGCACAGTAACAACTAATTTAATAGATATTTTTTCCAGTTTTTATCCAATAATTTGAATAAAAACATTCTATTGAAGTCACATTTAATTTTTACTAGTCGTTTGATTTGATACAATTTATTGGGGCATTTATTTACAAAATTGAATTAATAATTTAAAAAAATTACACATTTTGTATTAGATATTCACATAATGACTGTATTAGGCTGACGACAATATAGATTATATTAATAAAATCGTAATCAAACTGACTTAATGGCACTATTTATAAATGGCTTGGGGTTTTTCCGATGGAAGATATAGTTTAATTTTGTAGTTGCAGATGATGAATGCAATTTTTGCTTTAAAAACTTACAATAAATATAATGTACCTAAATTTAATAATTAATGACCAATTATAATTACAAAACATTTAGATCTATAAAAATTCGGTAACTTAATAAGTAAACTACGAACTAAATTAACTAAGTCTTTAATAGCTAATGTCAAAGTACTAGTATAGGTACTTTAACATATTTTTATTTTAACAAAAAAAAAAAACATTTTATTTTAACTTTAACATGAAACAACATATTAATAAAATTTGTTAAAATGTGAACAATGGTTTTGGTTGCTAATTGGTAATTGTTTGAACAGATGCCTTTTAAAATGAGAGAAAGAGATAGCTATAGTTATTATCTTCTGTACTATCTCGTTTTGGTAGAAAAATAACTTTTGTACGAAAGAAAAACAGATCAGTCCAAGTCTGCTAGGATGCGAACCTGTGATCTTCACAATAAAGCTACCAACTAGGCTTATTTTGATATTTATTATTGAGGTGACTAGTTTAATATTAATAAGCTTGTTTTTATTGTGAGATTCATGCATTTTTATTATTTTTAAACGTAAAAATAGATTCATAGGCACAAGATTTTTTTTTAATTTACTTGAATAGTAAATATCAACTATTAAACATTATCGCAAGAACGCGAAAATCCGATTGAAAGTTTATAAATAATCACAACAATATTATAAGAGTTACACGTTACTAAAATTCAAGTCGCAAAGACTTCTAATCTAAAATCCACTCTTTGATTGTGGCAAACTGTTTTTTTTTATCGAAATAACAAAAGTATTTTTTTTCTGAATGGTTGACAATTTGCGAACCAGCACCCTGCAGACTAGATACAATATTTAACTACCATAAATCTACAAGCATATTTACAGCTGCCATTTTCAACCGCGTAAATATTAAATGTCAGCAAATTAACAAAAATTTTAAAACATTTCATCGTTATTAATTAATTCGGAGTCGATCAAAATAATTTACTGAGAAATAGCAAAGTAAATTCGACACGTTATTTCCTGAATAAATTCGGTTATTTTGCGGATTCTTCGAACTAACTTTTGTTAAATTTCAATAAAAACAATAGAACAGACACATTTAGGCACAAAATTCAAAACAAGGAACTATATTTAGTACCAAACACTCCTTACTCTAAAAAGTCATTTACGAAAAAATCCAAAATGAAAAAAATATGGCCTGTTTTTTCCGAACATGAATTTCGATGAGTTTATCCTGGATACTGGATTTTTATAATTCAAAATGCCACCAACTAAAAATTTATTTTTAATTATTAACGTACAACTATTTTAGCGAACCTAACTCTCACTAACACCTCCGCCGACGAGCCTTTGCCTTTTTTTAGTTTAATTTAGCTTTTTGACCTTGACTCAGAAATGTGTCCAAATTAAATCACATTTTTTATTTATGTTACAAATTGATACAAAAACTGTTTCAATCTAACTTATATAAAGCATTTTACAATATTTCTAATTATTTGATACAATTATGCACATGCCAGCCATTAGCAATTTAATTTAGCTGTTTCGCAATCAAAAAATAAATTAGTATTATGTACCACTATCGTCAAACCTTATCAAAAATATTTCATTAATTTCTAAATAATCTGTGCGTGTTTCTTTTTTTAACTTACGGTTGTGTTTTTTCTAAACTTTGACCTAATTTTGGTCGTGTAATTTTTAATACTAGAACAATACAATTTTGTAATAAAATAATTTTTAAATGTGGATGGAGCTATGATATGAGTTTTATGACGGAATAATGACGAAGCATATATATTTGAATTCAATTTTTAATCTACATTTTTATGGACTGCAAATTGTTGACCATCTTCATTTATATGTAATTTTTTAATTTGTTTTTTTTTAATTATTGACGTTTGATTCTTTTCGGTCAAGAAATATTAATTGGTCACTAGTTGGTCACTGATACCTGATGACCACGACCAGTTTGAAAAGGCTTTAGCAACAAAGAAGAAATACGTAATATGTTGTGGTGGTATAGATTATAACAAAGTAAATAACATTTTGTTTTAATATAAATATAGTTTAAAGGTTAAGGATCTAAAACTCTTCATTACGTATAGAAACTCATGCAAGTCATAGTATTTCATAAATTAACTTTGTGACAAATATAATATTAAAAAATAATAACAAACAAAGGTAAATTATACATAAACACTAATAAAATGCTGAAAAAAGCAAGCGTTTTTCAAACCTGTTACAAAATGGTTTCCTTCCACAATAATGAATGTCTACTTTCATTTTATTCTATAAAAGTATATTACTGATTTGTCTAATTGCTACGTCACAAGGCACGTATCGCCCACTAGGATACGTTGAAAAAATAGTTCTCTCTTCTAATCAACGGCGTTACGATTATACTAAAAAAATGTCATTAATTGCACACAATTCGCGGCGCTCTTTGGTTACACTGTGATACAATACACTGGCAACATTAACAAAAACACTGGAGTCTTGTTGCCAAGTTACCGAGGTTACAAACTACATCTAAATGGAACACTCGTCACTGTCGCGCGCGTAGTCCTCGTCCTCGTCGTCGTTGCCGGACCGACGAGGGCTGTTCTTTTTCACTTTGCCGGACACCACTCCGGTGTTAACTTTACTAAACAAGCTGCTGCGATTCAATCTCGATATATCTCGTTGCGGGCTCAGACGCTCGGCGATCGCTCTTTCGTAGTTATCGGAGATTTTATTTACACCGTTCACGGGACTGGTGACCGGTGATTTATTGACTGGGGTTTTGATAGGGGAGGTGGCGGTCTTTTTAATTTCCGCGGCCTTGTCGAACGCTCCACCGGTGGCCGCCGTGTAAGAGGGCGGGTCTTTCGCGCGCGCACCCGTCGGGTTGAGCAGCTGCGAGTATAAAAAGCTATTATTGCTAAAACCGGAGTACCGGTTATCGACTTTGCCGTTCATCATTAGTAAGCTGACAGGTTTCTCCGGTGGTATCGGTTTTTCAGTTTTTCTATCGGGTAAACCGTTCTTGGAGACGTTGTCTGGTTGGTTCGGCCACCTGTTGGCGCCCCCGATGGAGTAAATAGAACTAAGATTGACGAAGCCGGCGGTGGGTGGTGCGGTGGTGGCGGCGGGTGCGGGCTGCAGGCGGGCGGAGGCGGGCTCCTTGCCGCGGCTGAGCACGCTGGAGGCGCTGTCGCTCAGCGTGGACTCCTCCACGCTCGACTCCTCCGCCACCTCAGTGTTCGTGATCTCGTCTATATTTGGTGATAAGCAATCTTCATCTGTCTCATCGTATGAGCTGAAAGAAGACGAACAAAAGGCTAAATAAATGTGTTGGCGTTTTGCAGGGACAAGTTGTAAGGTATATGTACTGAATGCAACATATCGTTTGAATAAATGTTAGTGTTACTTCATGCCTGATCAAATGCCGATGAGTTTGGATATTATTTACAAAACAAAAGCTCAAAAGTTCTCATGTGTGGATATGGATAATATAATATGTACAGATTAATAAAAAAAAAAATTCATCAGTAAGGCAGACGAAGCAGCGGATTCGATGGCAAAATTATTTCAAGGGTATTTAAATGTATGCGACCGTTTGCTGGGATATCTTAAATATTAAATGCATCGTTGTTTAATTAAGTGCAAGATATTCACACGTATAAGCGACAAGTCAACGTGGTTCAAGATGCAATTCCTTGCAACAAGCAAGGCTGTTCAATATACCCGTGGCTTTCTACTGCCGTGTCACATACATACATATTGTTGTCCCTCTCACTCTCTTAGAAAGAAACAGAGATATGTTTGAAAGATGTCCTGCAGTAGAGCTCCACGGTATAACAAGCTTTATAAAGCGGTATCGGAGTTTACAGAGTATAAAATGTCGTAGACACGACCAATGCAATAAATTACATACACATACACGTTACACGGCAATTCACGAACACATTCTTACCCTAGCATAGCCAGTTCTGTCTTCCTCCCTGATGAACAAAATTATAATAATAATGAACATAATAAAAGAATAACTAATGTTATAATAGAAGATATAAAATATATAATAGAAAAAAATACATATGATAGTTTATTGGGAAAGAAATACAGTATGATGTTTTTCGTAAAGATGAAAAATATTTTAATCGGTGCATTCAGAACATATTTATTTATTACACAGCACAGTTTTAATGTTATTTGAGAAGACATCAAAGCAGTGTGTCTACGAGTTTTATAACGAGTAATATGATTGGACGTTTGTGCCTCACAATGCAGGATGGTACAGACTAAGTACTAGTGCGGTGTCTGGTACGATATAGTTATTCATTTCTACTTTACCGCACATTGGAAAATTTATTTGAAATATCTATATCCACTAAATCTGCTAGCTCTGCACAATTCATTGAATATATTCATACATTTCTTTTTCTCTGCCTCTTTTATTAGTTTATATAATTGCCTGTTTATAATAAAAAAAAAAAAATTAAAGTATGTAAAAATGTTTTTTTTTTTTAGTAAATGTTAGTCCGTCTTACATTTGGTCCTGCGCATCGCTGCCACCTTCTTCTGCAACTAAGAGTTCATATTCCTCGGCGGCGAATCTATCCCATTCTGACATCTGTAATAATTTCATTAAGAATTGAGTTGATTATTTGACACAATATTTATCATTGCTTTTTTAAAACTTTATGTAGTGAATACTTAATTTGCCTTGATTAGGTTAACCCATGAGAGAAAATAATTCATAATTAATTAATTATAAAAGATACGTGAGAGAATTGCAGATCTAAAAAATGTTAATCTAATATGCATATAAAAATGCCTAAAAACAATTTTTTCCTCTAAAAAAAAATTAAATATCTTACGTTACATTTTTAATCGATTATTAAATTATGCAATATATTCTTAATTAGTAACCCTTTTTGATAGTTTTTTTTTCTTATGAAAAACTCAACAGTCGAGTCGTCGGCGGCACTCGTGTTAATTGTTATAAAAGAGGCTGACCTCTGAGTCGGAGTCCCTCTGCGTGGCGAAGGGGTCGCGCTGCTCGTGGTCGAGGTACTTCTCCAGGTTGAAGAAGGTGTCGAAGAAGATGGGCGTCAGCTTGCACCTCTTCAGATCTGACAGAGTTATCTTGCCCTCCTCCGCCGGGTGCACCATGTCTAACATCTAAAATATACAATTTATCATTTTATTGAAATTACTGAATCAGTGCGTTAATAAGCTACCATTTTCTTGCACTCTTATTGGTCGCAGCGTAATGTGATATAGCCTAGCCTTCCTCTATAAATGGACTATCAAACAAAAAAAGATTTTTTCAAATCGGACGAGTAGTTCCTGAGATATACCTGACATAAGCAGTCATTGAAAGGCAACGTCTCAATGCCGATGGCCTCCATACGCTGCATCTGCTCCTCGTAGAAATACTCCAGCTCGTACATCGAAATGTACCCGTCCCCGTCTACGTCCATACATCTATAATATACACAATACAAACATTAGTTCACTGACCTTTTGTTTCTGAGATAAAAATATATGAAAACGTAGTCATCCCTGTCATTATACTTGACAAAACAGAGATAGCAATATGTTTAAAAGGGGATTTTCGTCTCAAAAACAAACAAAACATCATATCTACTCATTAAAATATTAAGTACCTCTATTAAATAATTTTTACTAACCACCGACGGTTGACCACAAAATCAATCTTGAGAATGAATCGAAGATTTTAATTTTATGAGAGGAAGTAAATAAACAGATTGAACACCCTATATATTTATCTTGTGATAAAAGTATCTTAAATAACCAAGAATGTATCTAGATTTAATATATTACGCCGTAAGTTGAATGAAAACTCCTAATTAAAATGATATAACTACAGCCATAAAACCTATTAAAAAACGAAAGTGAAACTATAAAACAATAGAAGAGCGTAAGTAATTTAAAAATTAACAGTATTTCATTTGGAAGGTACATTTGTCGGGTTAACAGCACGGTATGGTAATGACCTATTACGTGACTTCTATCAAAACTTTCACAAGCACCGTCACGCATACATTGCCCACGAAATTTCACTAACACAATCTAGATTTTATGTACACAAGGTGAATAACAAACTTGCCTTTGAAGGTCACATTTACTGCTTTACTTAAACCAAATACATCACTTTCTTTGTTATTAAGACGAGTTTTATATCTGTTAAGCTTCGCTGTTCGTCGTTTTAGATTTAAACCAATTTCACGATGTCTAATTTGATAATTTGCACAATATTTAAAGCTCAAATGAATAAAAAATACACTTCATGGTTCCAGAATTTTAAGAAACTAGGAGGCCTTTTTATTAATATGCGACCAAATTATTATTTCTATAATTGCCGCAGCCGATTAGACACACGTTCCAGGACTCGGTTGGGGTAGTGGAAAAAGAATCTAAAGTTGTAGAATTATTGTACAAGTTGGTGGTCAGAACTAGGACTATCTTTGAGTACGTACCTGTACCAGTATTCAATGGCGGTGGGATGGGTCTTGTCCTCCTCGGCGAGCAGGAACCAGACGAATTCTGTGTATGACATGCGCGGCTCGCCGTCGGGCGTCAGTCGGTTCTGGTTGCCGCGCGTCACGCAGCCCGATAGCACACGCTCTATCATTCGGCTTGACAAAGCTGAAAAAAAAAACATTACACTAGCTGTCACCCGTGACTCTGTCGCTTGGAATTATAAAAAACTTAATTATTAATTAGTGTTTTTCAGATTATGTTCTACTACTATGCCAAAATCCACCGAGATCCCCTGAACCATTTGTAGATACCCTTTCACAAACAACATTCAAACATTCGCATTTATAATATTACTTTAAAATATGATTCATACGCGCTTATGCTATTGTAAAATATTATGTGAGTGATATCTAACCATGGTCGTTGTGCCGGGCGAGGTCGTGCTTGTCTATAAAAAGGTCGTGGTCGCGATCCAGCTCCCAGAACTTGCAGTAGATCACGTAGAAATGCTCGTAACTGCAATAAAAATAGTTGAATGAACTTTTTTTACTAGGAAACACTTTGAATCACTTACCATGTTCAATGCTACTATAATTTTAAGGTAAGTGTGGCCCCAGGCGATTTAAAAACGTACTAAGCAAAATGTATGCAAGCAAATGCATTAGGTTATTAGGCAAAATGATCAAATTACCTAAAATACTGTGTAACTTGATTAATATCCTCTTCATCTTCCAGCAGCTGTATGACCTGCAGAAGGTTTGACCTTCTCAGCTCTGGTATCGATATTCTACCCGACCACGACCGGTTCACGCAGTAAAATATCCGCGCGATCACCTGCAAACATAAATATATCCCTTTGTTATGGTTTTCAAAAATATGTCGAATTTGTTCACCTCATGCAATAGAAGACCTCACAGTAATAGAATTTTACATAATTAGATAGATAGATAGATAGATAAAGCCTTTATTCGCTGACAATTATTAAACTTAATATTATTATACAATATTGACAAACTTATTTTCTAGTAATTAACCTATGTTAGATGTATGTTTAATCGATTTCCCAGCATCCCGTTGCGTGTCAGGTTGTCCCTTGACATAGGCCTCCCCTAGTCTCTTCCACACCTCTCTATCGCGCGCTAATGTCAGAGGTTGCATTTTCTTAAAACGGTCATTTCCCCTTAGATCCGAATAAAAAATATATTTCGAAAACTACTAGTTTTCGAAGAACACATTATGAACGCTATTTAAAAAAAGTAAATAGTGTTCAAAGTAATTGTGTTGCCATTATTCTATATACAAAAATATTCTTACCGTATGCACGTATCTGGAGTGAAATTCGGTGGCTTCCTTCAAGAAGGAGAGACCGGGATGTGTGTCGACGACATCCTGCACTAGAGGCACAAAGTCTTCAGGCGCTAATGTGTTGCTCTTCCCCCGGGTCAAGATGTACACGAACCGGGAGGCCATGTCGTGACACTGTGACGTCATCCTGGAACATACAGGAATCGAATGAGCAAAGGCATATTGATTGGTTAGTGAACGTAGAAGAAATTATTTTGCAGTGTTAGTTTAGTGTTTAAACTGTAATTATAAGAAACATCTCTCTCTCTCTCTCTCTCTCTCAAGTTGCCTCTTCATATAATCGATGTTGGTCGTCAGCTCAGTGAACTAAACATACAATTTGAAATCTTTTTATTCTTTTCTTTATTTTGTTTCAAATGTCGGTGTCAGTTTCCATGTCCAGAGCGCTGTTTGTGTCCCTATCCCATAGTAAATTATCAACTCACTCTCTCCAGAAGTCAATGAACTTGTGCCCGTCGACTGAGGCGTGCAGGCTCTGCTGCGTGGCCAGGAATAGCGGCATCTTCCAGTACAGCGGGCATTCGCATGCCGCCACTATGTGCTTGAAACTCTCGCGAGGAACCTGGCAACAAACACACATTTTAACCACAGACCAGAGATTTGGCATAGATTTAGAACATAAGCTGGAAGAATACATAGGCAATTAATTGTTTTTTTTTAATTCCGTGCGACGGTTGCCGGCGACAGCAAGTTTTATAATGTATTTTTCTCTTTTAATTATTTCATTTTGATTTTAAGAGTCATGGAGTGAGTAGAACATTGTTAGCGATACCACTTTTGTATTTTTTCAATTCCATAACAATAACCTTTTATAGTAGCCGTTAAGTAAAGGTCAATCGTTCATATTTCACGTATCGCATGTGAACTGAGAGTAAAGGGAAACAAGAAAGGGCAAAATGGCCATAAAATAGTTACACTATAATCAAACATTTCAATAAAAAAAAAATTATAATTAAGATGATGAAGAAAAAAAAACAAAATTATTGCCATAAACTATTGAGGAACAGTTCATCAAACTTTTGAAGTTATGTTTTTAAATTTACGTTACGTGTTTTATTGGACTACAATTAACTGTTGCATTTAGTCTTTTAATATTCACCAATAAACCTAACTCTAACCTAATTTTAATATCAGAATAAACTGTTAAATTATAGGATTAAATGAAAATATACTTAGAATATTATATTAGATTGATTCTAAGATGGAGTTATTGATTCTATACATATCGTGAAGCCGTGCAGTGGTCAGAGTTTCGTAGGCTCGGCTTCCGGTATACAATATAGGCCACGATGTCAACAACCGACTTCATTGGACGTTATTATCGAATGAACGAATCTTTAAAACGAATTGTTTTTATTCTCCACAGCAAATTAACCGCAGAGAGAAAATTAAAATTGTTTGTATTGGAATCAATTGTCAGTTGTAAATACTGGCATTGACCACACCTGATGCATGGTAGTTAGTGGTAATACTACGACCACACAGAAGACAGGTGTGAAGTGCACCTAGCGTTTAGTTTGATGAATGTGCGTTCCGGAGGCCTAATTATAGTCCTCTTTCCCTTGCCACCCTTTTCTTATCAGGAAAGGATCAGAACAGGTAAATAGATTTGCCGGAGAAGGGGATTCAAATGAAAGGGAAATATTCTCTTCCTGTGCCTCCCATAGTTCGTCGATTAAAGCTAGGCAACGCATCTGCAATTGCTGATGTCTACGGGCATCGGTTGCTTCGCTATTTCGTTCGTTTGTCACCTTAAGATATAAAAAAAAATAGAAAAATGTGTCGAAATTTATTATTTAAACACACACTTTTTACGTAAAAAATATAACTTTTGTAGAACTATTTTTATAGATACGATAAGCATTATTCATATTATTTTCGTACCAAAAATCGTAACAAATACATTTTCGGTATTGATAGAATTTTATGGGTAATCATTTATACATAAAGGCATAATAAAGTTTTTGATGTTTACCTAATCGTGTTTTACTGTTAGAATAACATCCCTTGAGGTTTGATAACTTTATGTAGGTTTATTTCAATTGCGTTACTAAAAAAAACTTTTTTTTAGCTTATTTGGAGTGTCACAGTCGATGACGATATGTTTTATATAGAAACTTTGGTCTCAGAAACCAATGGTAAATGGGATGCATATTTAATTATTTGACAAACGCAATCGCAGGCAAACGAATACCATTACCATTTACATTCGCATGTAGCTTTCTCATTTTCTCCAAACGCTTATGATGATATTTGTCAGTATTAGATTTCACATCGGGTTCTATGCAGAGGTTGTATATCTTGATAAATCATGATATAAATCATGCAGATATAACAAACGACCACTAATAAACTTATATAAAAACGGCTAAACACTCACGTATATTCTTCCGGTGGCGACACCGACTAGTTTTGAGCCCATCGGGTTCCCTTCATCAGGGTGAGTGGGACTGGTATTATTTCGTGTACGCGGCCCGTCGCTCAGAGAGCTAGTCGGTGCCGTCACTGGACGAATATATGTGAGTTTTTAGTCGTTATTATATAAGTTTATTATAATGTCTCATGAAAGTTTGAATAATTTAAACGACCACTAATAACATAATACGAATATATAAGAAAATACATAAGAAACAAACTGATAATACATGAAATAATTTATCTATTTAGATAAGCTTTTATGAATGGCGGAAGTAAAAGAATCTCTACCTACTTACTACATTAGCAACTATAACTAACGAGATACACTCAGCGATCTGAAGTGGGCCTTCCGACAACTAGTATCCACTTTCCCCGATCCCCCATCATCCCGATGCAGTCCCAGACCTGGAGCTCCTAAAGATCCATGACCGACCGTGTGTTAACCGACGACCAATTGCAATTAGATTTAAACTGTTATATAATTTGAGGTTGTAGAGTCGAGGTCAAAAAGCTTAAAGATCATCATTATTACTTACGTATAAAATAACGTTTCTTCGCGCCTATTTAGTATGTAATTATGTCTAAAAAGGAGCCGACACTGAAATGAGGCTTAATGATAAGCAAAATATGGTATCACCTTTCACTGCGTAATAATTATCACTAAAGACTTCTTGTTCCTAGTATTGTGAGTTTTAATGTCATATATAAGTATTTTAAATGCGTAAATTCTGAACCACAGTTATTATTTTTTTATCTAACGAATAAATTCAAATAAATGTTAGTCGGGTTTAAAAAATATGGGTATTAGAAATCTACAGTACGACTGAGTAACATTCCAAATCCTCATGGATGATGTAGCGGGTAAATACAAGTTTTGTTATAATTATACATTCTAGCAGCTATAAGCCGTGGGTTAATATTTCACATCAAAATACAATTCAGTAACCAACAGAACAATATTTTGATGTAAGTGACCTATTTTATATTGTTAGCATTTAAGAAGTATGCAATTTCTTTCTGTCCCAACTAAATGCTAAGAGTATACACGTAAATATTGAATCTAAACGGTTGAATCGTAAACATTTGTCACTTTTACAGCGTGTCTGTCGTTCTTGGAACATCGTTTTCCCTAAAACGGTCCCCTTCCGAGGCCGTTGACCTGCGCGAATTGGGTCACGTCTACTTCACAGGTAGGGCTGCCAACTTACAAAAAAATGTATACATGGCCACTGGCAAAACAACAACAAAAACCAATGCCTTGTTTACCTTTGACTCATTGGCAGACGATGAAAAAAAAACAACGTCCACTCTGGACATTATGATCCTAAGACATCTATCTCAAGTCAAAACCATAGGTCGAATTGCACTACACAAACTCTTAAAATTCGGGTCAAACCCGTGTAGGCAGCAACCCTGTGGACAGACCTATTTATACCGTAGTCGTTGCCTCGGTCGGCTAACTTTGACAGCACAGCTACTGTGTCGCGACATCCGCTGTCTACGTTATGCAACAATATTACTATTATAAGTGCTAATTAATAAATTAAGACTGGCTGATACGTAATTATTAAGATGACGGAAAATATGAGGATGGAAAGAGTGTTTGAATTAAGATGAATTTATATAATAAAATTAAAAGACAAAATGAAAATATAAAATAGAATTATGAAAATGAAGAGATAAGCACGCACTTTTAGAACATATATTTACAACTGATTTTTAAATACAGACAAAAAAGGAAGAAAAAATATAATATGTTCTAAATACAAAAATATAACAATTATGATTAAAAAACGTGTAAAAAGGTTCCGTATCTGTCGGCAACAATTACTCTTTTACAGTTGTTAAAAATCTATGCGTTTGAATTTATTAATACCTAATTCTTAAGTGCCTGATATGTTACTTCAAGATTTTGCTTTAAAAATTTTAAAAGCAATGGAGTTCCATCTGTATTCTAGACATAATAATAACATCTTTAACTATTACCTAGTATTATACGTTTTCCTGGGAAGTTAATAAAAAAAGAAATAGAGGAAGGTTGAAAATATATGAATCGGGTCAAGTGGTCGACTTATCGTATCAGGAGGTAAAGAGGATGGTCCGAGAGACGGAGAATTTGTCCTATAAACAATGACGTCATATTTCTGAAGTTACGACAACATTCCGTTTTCCGATAAATCAATAGACGGGGTATTTCAAGCAGTTGTTCATTAACGATGTAACTCAATAAGATATTAGGTCAATCTTGCTCTTTAGAACTCGGGAATAGTATTGGTTAATTTGTCCTGTATTTGAATGATTTTCTAGGAACAAAGACGTGTTCTAAATAACAAGCCAGTGTATTGGTGCGTTCATAAACAGTTTTACGATGCAATATAACGAAAGATATATGTACACAGTTTAGTTGTGTAATTTGAATTAGCTATTTCCAGTTAACGTAAAAAAATGTCGTTTGGCGCCTAATCTCTAAATATGTACAAGCCGTTTTTTTTAATTAGCGGAATTTAGTGCATATCAATGGCTTTTTACTTTTTTTTATCTTTTTTGGCATAAGCATACCTATTAAAAGATGCGTAAAAGCAACGAAGTAAACTTTAGAATATATTTGGAAATTTTCCACGATGAAATAAATTGAAAGCCGTGAAAAAGTGTTCTTCTTTCTTTATAAATTCTAAAAATATAATCACCACTTTTGTTTTATTGTAGTTTGTAAAGACCTAGAAAATAAATACAAGATACCTTATTATTACTGAGTATTTGTGTTTGGATCTACGTTTGTTGTCAAGTTGGCAGCCCTGCAGTATATCCTTTAAGATGTTGAAGCGTTAACATTTGTAGGTCAATCCTCGTTTACTACGTGGGAGCGATCCCACGGCTATAATTCGCTAACAATACAGACATCTTGGTAATTTCGTAAATGTTCCTTATTATAATTTTACCCAATATTAAAAAGTGTTAAAACGTTAATTTAATTGATCTGCAAGATTGAGATAAGACGGATATGTAATTATTATTTTGTAATTACGTAACCGTATTGCCGAAACACTCATTTAAATTATATTATTGCGTCTGTGTGATATCTGTACTGACCGAATAGACGACTTGCGTCGCGTACGTACGACGTGCTGCACGATATTAGTTGCG